TAATTTTAAACATATATGTTTAAAGTAAAGGGATGGGGAAAAATCCATCATGCTAACACTAATCAAAAGCAGGACATGGAATGAAAATTACAGCATAGGGAGTATAGTCAGTAATACTGTAATAACTTTGTATGGTGACATATGATAACTAAACTTTTCAGAGTATACATTTCATAATGTATAAAATTGTTGAATCACTATGTTGCACACCTGAACTAATATAACATTGTATATCAACTACACTTTGAGAAGAAAAAATAAGCAGGAGTAGCTATATGAATTTCACACATAGTAGAGTTCAAAGCAGGGAAGGTTCTTAGGGATAAAGAAGGGCATCCCATAATGATAAAGGGGTCAATTCTCTGAGAAGACATAACAATTGTTAATATGTACACATCTAACAACAGACCATCAAACTACATGAGGCAAAAATTGATAGAGCTACAAGGAGAAACAGATGAATCCACTATCAACTGGAGATTTCAGCATTCCTTTTTTAACAGTGGACAGATTTAGTAGGCAGAAAATCAGTAAGGGCATAGCTGAACTTAATAATACTATTAATCAACTGGATATAATTAACATCTATGGACTAATTCACCCAAAAACAGCAGAATTACATTTTCCTCAAGCTCACAAGGAACATTCACCAAACATACAACATTCTGGATCATAAAAGACAAGAGAATAGAAATATACAATGTTTGCTTTCAGACAACAATGGAGTTTAACCAGAAAGATAACTTGAAAAAACCCAAAATATGTGGAAATTAAACAACACACTTCTAATTAACACATGGGTCAATGAAGAAACTCAAGAGAAATTAAAAAATATTTTGATTAAAGTGAAAATGAAAATACTGAAAATACTACCTATCAAAATTTGTGGAATACAGTGAAACTCGTGCTTAAAGGGAAATTTATAGCATTAAATGTACATATTAGAAAAGAAGAAAAAACTTCTATCAATAATCTAAGTTTCTACCTTAGGAAAGTAGAAAAAGAAAAGCAAATTAAACCCAAAGTAAACAGAAGGAAATTAATAATAAGAATTAGAGCAAACAGCAATAAAATTGAAAACAGGAAATCAAAAGAGAAAATCAATGAAACAATACGCTGGTTCTTTGAAAAGACTGGTAAAATTGATAAGCCTCTAGTCAGGCAAACTAAGAAAAAAAAGAGAAAGGGCAGAAATTACTAATAACAAATGAAAGACCCTGGGCACATCACTACAGATCCCATGGAAACTGAAAGGATAATAAAGGAATATTATGCTAACAAATTTGATGTCCTAGATGAAATGGACCAATTCACTGAATGATACAATCTGCCAAAATTTACATAGCAAGAAATCCAAATAGGCCTACATCTATTGAAGAAATTGAATCAGTAATTAATAACCTTCCCAACAGAAAGCAAAAGGTCCAGATGGGTTCACTGGTAAATTCTAACAAAGATTTAAGGAAGAAATCACACCAATTCTTTACTATCTTTTTCAGATTATAGAAGCAGGTGCAATGCTTGCTAACTCATTCTATGAATCTAGTCTTACCCTAAAACCAAAACCAGATGAAGATATTGCAAGAAAACTACATACTAACCTCTCTCATGAACATAGATGCAAACATCCTGAGCAAAATATTAGCAAATTGAATGAAAAAATTATAAAAAGAATTATACATGATGACCAAATGGGATTTATCCCAGGTATGTAAGGCTGGCTCAACAGTTGAAAATCAATTAATGTAATCCATCATATCAACAGACTGAAAAGGAAAAATTAGATGACTGCATCAATAGTTGCAGAAAAAGCATCTGACAAAATCCAATAGCCATTAATGAAAAAAATTCTTAGTAAACTAGGAATAGAAGGGAACTTCCTCAACTTGATAAAGACTATCTACAAAAATCCTACAGCTAACATCAGACTTAATGGTGAGAAACTCATAGCTTTCCCACTAAGATCAGGTAAAAACAAGGTTGTTCCCTCTCACCACTCTTTTTCTTTCTTTTTTTAATGAAGTATTGTTGATATATAATCTTATATTGGTTTCAAGTATAATGACCACTCCTTTTCACTATCATACTGGCAGTCCTTGTTATACAATAATGCAAGAAAAGGAAGTAAAAGGTATACAGAATGGGAAGGAATACATAAATCTGTCTTTATTTGCAGATGACATGATTGCCTATACAAAAAATACCAAAAAATCAACAATAAAACTGAAACTAATAAATTATAGCAAAGTTGTAGGATACCAGATTCATACACAACATTCAATTGCTTTCTTGCATACCAACAATAGACAAGTGGAATTTGGAATTAAAAACATGACCACTTACATTAGCACCCCCAAAAAGTTAATACTTAGGTATACATCTTACAATATGTATACCATGTATATGAGGAAAACCACAAAACTCTGATGAATGAAATCAAATAAGAAATAAATAAATGGAGAGATATTCCATGTTCATGGGTAGGAAGACTCTGTATTGTCTTCCCAATTTGATCTATATAATCTATGCAATACCAATCAAAATCCCAGAAAGTAATTTTTATGGATATCAATAAATGGATTATAAGGTTTATATGGAGAGGCAACAGTCTCAGAATATCAGAATAGTCAGCTCAGTACTGAAGGACAACAAAGTTAGAGGGCTGACAGTACCTAACTTGAAGACTTACTATAAAGCTACAGTAATTAAGACCATGTGGTATTGGTGAAAGAATCAACAAGTAAATTAATGGAACATAATGCAAAGTCCAGAAATAGACCCATATAAATATAGTTAACTGATCTTTGACAAAGGAGCACAGGTAATACAATGGAGCAAAGACAGCCTCTTCAACAAATGGTGCTGGACATCTACATGCAAAAAAAAATGAATCTAGACACAGACATTATACCCTTTACAAAAATTAACTCAGAATGGATTATAAACCTAAATGTGAAACACAAAATTATAAAGCTCCTAGAAGATAATGTTAGAGAAAACCTAGATGACCCTTGATAGGTTGATGTCTTTGATACAACAGTAAAGACACAATCCATTAAAGAAATGATTGATAAGCTGGACTACATTAAAATTAAAATCTTCTATTTTGTGAAGAATGATATCAAAAGAATTAGAACACAAGCCACAGAATGGGAGAAAGTATTTGCAAAAGACACATTTGATAAAGGAATATAATCCAAAATATACAAAGAACTCTTAAAACTCAACTAACAACTCAATAAAAACAAACAACTCAATTAAAAAGTGAGCCAAAGACCTTTTCAGATGCCTTACCAAAGAAGATACACAGATGGCAAGTAAGCATTTGAAAAGATACAACACATCATATGTCATCAGGGAAATGCAAAGTAAAACTACAATGAGATACCACTACACTTCTATTAGAATGGCCCAAATCCAGAACACTGACACCATCAAATGCTGGTGAGGATATGGAGCAACAGGAACTTACATTCATTTTTGGTGCTAAATAGTACAGCCACTTAGGAAGAGAGTCTGGTGACTTCTTACAAAACTAAACATACTCTTACCACAGGATCATGTTCCTTGGTATTTGCCCCAAATAGTTGAAAACTTATATCCATACTAAAACCTGCTCCCAGATGTTTATATTAGCTGTAATTATAAGTACCAAAACTTGGAAGCAACCAAGATGTCCTTCAGTAGGTGAATGGACAAATAAACTGGTACATCCAGATAGTGGAATATTATTCAATGCTAAAAAGAAATGAGCTATCAAGCCATGTAAAGACATAGGTAAACCTCAAATGCATATTACTAAGTAAAAGAAGCCAATATGAAAAGGCTACATACTCTAATTCCAATTTTATGGCCTTCCAGAAAAGGCAAAACTATGGAGACAATAGAAAGATCAGTGGTTTCCTGGGGAGAGAGAAGAATAGGCCAAGCACATAGGACTTTAGGGCAGTGAAAATACTCTATATGATACCATAATGATACATATGTCATTATACTTTTGTCCAAACCTATAGAATGAATAACACCATGAGTGAACCTTAAAGTAAACCATGGACTTTGGATGATTATAATGTATCAATGTAGGTCCATCTTTGTTAAAACATGTACCACTCTGATAAGTGATTTTATTAATTGGACAGGCTATGAATGAGTAGGGGCAGCGGGTATGTGAGACATCTCTGCACTTCCTCTCAATTTTGTAAAAGACCTAAAATTGCTAAAAAAATTTTATTAAAAAAACACTACATACTGGGTGACTTTATTTATATGATATGTCTAGAAAAGGCAGTTACAGAGATGGAAAGCAAATCACTGGTTGCCTAAGACTGGGGGTGGGAGTAGAAGTTGACTGCAAAGGGGCTTGGGGGAAATTTGGGGTGAGATGGGAGAGTTCTCCACCTAGAATGTGGTTATAATTGCAAGTTCTATAAACGTTCCAAAAAGTTATTGAAATACACACTTACAATGGGTACATTTTATGGTATATACATTATACCTCAAGAAAAGCTGTGAAAATATATTTTACATGTGAGATAAAGAAATGTATTATGGCCATGCTACCTATGTTATCACAAGTAAAACAAAGATAGCTATAGTTGAGAAGACAATAATATAGAAAATATAATCAATATAGGTTCCCAATAATCTCTACTTAAAACACTTGAAACCTCAAAACCTTTAAAATTTACTGAAAAACATTTCATCTATCATTGAAAAAATACATTAAAAGATGATTTGAAAAACAAATAGAAATGTTATCCTAAATTTCAATATCTAATTATTTACTTCTTATTTTTTGGCCTTCACTTTGTAGACTTTATTTTCCAATTTTTAAACAAAATGCTATGAAATATATAAAGCTTTGATTAATAGAACCAATACTGCTCTGGCTTGTCCAACAAAAGATGACATAATAGAATTGTCCACTTTAAATTTTGTTTCCCAGTTCAGCATAAATTACATTCACAAAACCAGTAACATACTTTTGGTTGATATATTACCTTGTCTGACTTGTCAGCCTGAAGTCAACAATAGATTCCTTAAATAAGCCAACCCCTTCAATATCAATGACACTATCCACATCAGGCTCAGTAGCAACCAATATTATGGGAAAGTTCCAGATCCCATCTGTTACGCACTCTATTTTCAGCATAATTTGAGACCTTGAATAAAAAAAGAGATCATAATGGATATTACAATGAAACAAGCACAGAATACAATATAGCAAATCAATATCTAAGGTGAAAATGTACAACACTATTCTGTGAAAGGATAAACTGTGAAAAAATTACCTTGTATTTACTGTTGTGAAAAATTTTATATTTTCCTTTTACCTAAATATGAAAATCTTGTTGTCCTTTTTAACCTTGCTAACTAAGACAAAAATAATTCAATACTTATTTTAATTACCTAGGTAAAATATGGTTTGGATATAATTATTTTTTGTTCTTCTTTTTGATAATTTAGAGCTCTTGGTTTTATTTTGGTTTTTCTCATTTAACTGTGTGTCTTATAGTGAATCATCCCAAACACATATAGAAGAAAGAATAACACAAGTAAATGAATATATACATATATGCACAAAACAAAATTATTTAGCTACCACACATCATCATACAGCTCACATCAATTTATGAATCATGCATACAAATTGTCCTAAAACAGTTTCTTAAATAATCACCAAAAAATTCTAAATCCACAAATGATGAGTGAGTATAAATTCACAGGGTTTTACTCATATTCGCTAATGATAACATTTCTCCTTTTTGGTTGTTGTAATTTCCATATCACTAAATCAACACAATACAAAGCTAAAATGTAAAAAAAACACTAACAAATAAACAGAAAACTGCGAAAATCTAAGACAAAAGAGGGTAATGTCAATGTTTATAACATACTTTCTTCTTATAGCTTGACTTTATTACTGCTTCCTAAAGATGACCCTGCTATCTTCTAGTTATTGGACTACATATTCAAAACCCCTTTAAATACATGCCTGGCTACATCATACATACTTAAACTAGGGAAATGAAAGAAAACACAAATAATACTTTCAGTTGTCTTTTCATTGCAAGGTTGGCTGTATTTTGTTCTTGGTGTATAGTGTGGTTCTGATCAGTATGTCTACATTAAGACACAAATAAAGCCCATGTCAGATGTACTGTATCATACAGTACTGGCAGGTGCTACGTATCAGTTGCTTAAAAAATAAATATAAAGATACTAGAAGAGGTTTCCTAGAGGATAGACATTCAAAGTTCACTATTCTCACAGGTTCCAATCTGATCCTATTAAACCCAACTAAGGGATGTGCAATGTTATGGTTTGGGGCAGTAAGATGGTAATGCCAGCAATTGCAGAGTAAAGCACAGTGTATTAGGTACTTTCATCATTTGAACTGGTTCTGAAAAGTAGTACCAAAACAATAGAGAGCCCAGATATAAATCCAAGCATATATGGTCAATTAATATACGATAAAGGAGCCATGGATATACAATGGGGAAATGACAGCCTCTTCAACAACTGGTGTTGGCAAAACTGGACAGCTACATGGAAGAGAATGAAACTGGATTATTGTCTAACCATAAACATAAAAGTAAATTCGAAATGGATCAAAGACCTGAATGTAAGTCATGAAATCATAAAACTTTTAGAAGAAAACATAGGCAAAAATCTCTTGAAAATAAACATGAGCAACTTTTTCCTGAATGCATCTCCTTGGGCAAGGGAAACAAGATAAAAAATGAACAAATGGGACCACACCACTGCTAAAAAGCTTGAGTACACAGCAAAGGACACCATCATCAGAATAAAAAGGCATCCTACAGTATGGGAGAATATATTTGTAAATGACATATCCAACAAGGGGTTGAATCCAAAATATATAAAAAACTCACATGCTTCAACACCCAAAAAGCAAATAACCCTATTAAAAAATGGGCAGAGGATATGAACAGACACTTCTCCAAAGAAGAAATTCAAATGGCCAACAGGCACATGAAAAGATGCTCCACATCACTAATTATCAGGGAAATGCAAATAAAAACCACAGTAAGATATCACCTCACACCAGTTAGGATGGCCAACATTCAAAAGACTAGGAACAACAAATGCTGGTGAGGATGTGGAGAAAGGGGAAACCTCCTACACTGTTAGTGGGAATGTAAGCTAGTTCAACCATTGTGGAAAGCAATATGGGGGTTCCTCAACCAACTAAAAATAGAAATACCATTTGACCAGGGAATTCCACTTCTAGGAATTTACTCAAAGAAAACAAGTTCTTAGATTCAAAAAGACATATGCACCCCTAAGTTTATCGCAGCACTATTTACAAGAGCCAAGAAATGGAAGCAACCTAAGTGTCCATCAGTAGATGAATGGATAAAGAAGAGGTGGTACATATACAGAATGGAATACTATTCAGCCATAAGAAGAAAACAAATCTTACCATTTGCAACAACATGGATGGAGGTAGAGGGTATTATGCTCAGTGAAACAAACCAGGCAGAGAAAGACAAGTACCAAATAAGTTCACTCATTTGTGGAGTATAACAACAAAGCAAAACTGGAGGAACAAAACAGCACTAGAGTTGCAAACTCCAAGAAGGGACTAGCAGTTACCAAAGGGGAGGGGTGTGGTAGGGTGGATGGGGAGGGAGGGAGAAGGGGATTGAGGGGTATTATGATTAGTATACATGGTGTGGGTGGTCATGGGGAAGACAGTGTAGCTCAGAGAAGACAAAACAGGGACTCTGTTGCATCTTACTACACGGATGGGCAGTGACTGCAATGGGGTATGGGGGGGACTTGATAATAAGGGTTAATGTAGTAACCACATTGTTTTTTCATGTGAAACCTTCATAAGAGTGTATATCAATGATACGTTAATAAAAAAAACTATCATGTTGCCAATGTGCAAAAAAATAAACTATCAATCATTTTTTTTTTTACAAAGCAAGCTGCTCTCTTTTGTTAATATACTCTAATAACCTTAGGGAGTTCACAATCCATGAAAACATCTCAGATTGTCAATCATTTGGATGAATTTTTCTCATCAGAATGCTTTTCATAGCTTGATAGCCAGAAATTACCTATCACAAAATACTTACCTCAACAGTATCAAAGAAGTAATACAGTCCAAATATATAAAGATGGGAAGAAAGGTTATTTAGCTTAAAAGAATAATAATATTTTTTAAAGAAAAAGGGGTAAAAGTAGGCTTACTTCAATGGTTTCTTTGGTGCAAATACCAGACTGAAGATCAATGTTATCTTTTCAGCCTCTGTATTATAAAATGTTTTGATCAAATGTAAAGCCACGCAGGATTCCCAGTTAGACTTCACAACTTCAGATTCAAACTGAATTTCATATTCAAATTCACGTTTTATCGGCTTATCTATGGAAAAAATCAAGATTCAAGTGCATTTCAATTTAACTAAATATGTGTAGATGGAACATCAGACATGTCTACAACAAGTGTGCACACGTATTTAGAGGGAGTGAGTGGGTGTTCGTTATTAGCTTTGTGTTTATAAAGCTGGGGCATTACCAGATGATAATAGTACTTAGTATGTTTCTGTTAAAAGGTAAATAAATAAATGAATATTTAAAAATAAGTGCAGAAGACAGTCCTTATGTCCCTTAAATCTTTCAAGATTCAGATTTATGGAACAATAGCCAATGGAGATTAACAATCAATATTTATTATAAAATACAAATAATACCACATGCTCTATACAATCAATGTATTAAAGGCCTATAGACTTATAATTTATAACAACTTGAATTAAGTTTAAATATTATTAGAAAAGCATCCCCATGTATTAGGAGAGGATTTTCAAGTTCTGGTATATTAATAAAAGAGAGAGTTCTTCATGTTTTACTTTTGGGGTGTTACAGAGAATATGGTTAACCATATTTTCTTAACTAGTAGGTTACCAGAGGAAAGTTATAGAAGGGTTTTGTTCAATACGTGGAAAGTATCTTAAATCTAGGGCTGGTATGTAGAAGAGAAGCACAAACATCTATAATATTTACTCTCCACATACACGTAAGGATCCCAAACTCCAAATCGTGGTTTGTTGCTTGTGGATCACGAGGGGTTAGAGAACTAAAAGTCAGTGTATAAAGGTAAAAGTGATCCTTGGATTCACAGAACTGATAACCACGTTTCTCCAAGCAATCCTAGCAGAAACCACACTACCTTTCAGAAGTATTTGATTATAATTTCTGCTACAAAACTCTGAAAAATAGCTTTGGCTGTAACAAGCCCAAGTCATATATGTAATGATTACTCAGCAAACCCTACTCATGTAAAATAAGTGACTGATCAACGCCCTTATAAAATTTTTCTTTTCCACATGTAAAAATAAATCACTGACCTCCTGTACTGCTGGTTTTCATCCTGTTGACAAAATCAGCAATTGTTCCTATCAGTAACCATTCTCTGCTGTAGCAAAATCAGTGTGTCTACATACAGTGTGTTTATTTGTTTTAGGAATGAGATATGGAAATGTTCCAGAGGAATCCACAATCCATACAGAGAAACAATGTATAAGAATTTTAGAGTGTTTAACCAGAGATGAAATTTCCATTGCATTCAAGAAACAATATTTTTTAAAGCAGCTACTGTATGTAGTCGAGATCTGCATCTGTTTCTGCTTAATTATTGAAGCCTTTAAGGGAATGGCTGTATCAGAATGTAGATTGGAAATGAGAAGCTAAATTTAGTTTCACAAGCATTGAACCTCCTGTGAGGAATCTGTCACTATGGATGTTCATAATTCCAATCATAAGAAGATCCACTGGTACAAAATAGAGATGATTATCAGCTAGGAGATGGGGGCAGTGAGACAAGTAGGAGTCACATGAGCACATTTTTCAAACTACACATACCCCCCCTGCCTGTAATTCAAGTATATTGATATGCTCACAAAAGGGAGAGGGACAGAATGAGGTTGGGCAAAATCATGATAAACAGACATTCTATATTGTGTCTTAAAGCTTATCTGTTAGAGTCGCTGCATTTTATTTGACAAGTCATATTACCGAGTAGGAAGCATGCCTTTTGCTATGTTCCTAATTTGGAGAGATCTGCACAGTACTTTTATGTGGATTGGGTCAAAAAGAGCTAAGGCAGTGAGGGCAGTGTAAGTTATCATCTGGCTGTGGGATAAAATTAATCTCTCATGACAAACAGAGCACATAACTTTAATAGAATAAGCACATGTTTCTAAAAAAAGGACTTACATAAATGCTGTTTCCCATAATATACATAATAATTTGAAAGTTACAAGTCAACAGTCCTTGGGACTACTGTAACAAACTTTCAATATCAGAGGAAAATTTTGTCCTTTTTAAGAAAACCCTTAAAATGACCCTTGAATTCATGAAATTAGTAGTCAAAATAAATACATATTTTACTTTATCTGTGTTTTAACAGGTATGTAAGTATTTACTTATCTGTTGTTTTTTCTTCCTATCTTACAATATATAATGGTTATCACAGACTGGTCTTAAAGCCTGTTGTTTGGGTGAATTTTCTCTGGACAATGACTGAATTTTATTAAATGTGGAAGAATATTAGTAATTTTTAAAAAGAGAATACTTGACTAAATATGACAATCAAGAAATAATTATGACAAATTTATTTACAAAATATATCTGGAAATTATGTGCTATTATACCATATAACTTTTAACCTGTAAGAAATATATTTCCAAGCAAATCCAACAAAAATGTCTCAATTATGGAGAAATGAGTATCAAAGTATAATGAACATTGTTATTCACATTCTTTCCTTAAATTTTTACAGTTCTGTCTTCATTAATGATAGGCATATACATTTGTCAGACAGAACATAGTAATCATATGAGGAATGAATGGAGTACTAAAGAAAATTTGAAATAAATGAAAATAACAAAGTATTCAAAGAAAATAGAGGATGCTGGATAAACTACCTAAAGCTATTTTCTTTGAACAGATAATGAAGAATGTGCCACCTGCATACTCATTTTTATAAAACTGTACATATCTTTTTGAAGTGGTATTTTATTTACATGTTTTTACTTTACTTTCATAAGGTCATTTAACAGACCAAACATTTTGACTAACTTAAAATAACCCCATGTTCCTCTGATATGAGTGCAAGTACAGTAAACTATAAAATGAAAATTAAAGAAAGCAGCCACAGATCTAATGTTCTTCTTGTCTGTTTTGTTTTAAACAAGATCCCAGAAATAAAAGATAAAGGGACTTCTTGTAACAATATTTTATGTGAACTTTCAGCAATTTGCATCTAATTTCACACTCTAATGTACTTTCTTCTTCATAGAGTATTCTTTTGTGAATGAGAAAACCCACCGAATGACATTGAGAGAACCACGTTTCCACATTAAAAAATTGTCAGTAACTTAAGATGGGCCCTCTAGTACACCACTAACACACAACGCCCAGCTAAAGCTTACATAAGAATAATGCTTAATATCTAACACTTATGGAACACTAAGAACCGGGCACTTTCTACAGATTCCATGTATGTACATATTTAATCCTCTAAATATCATATAATATAGGTAACATTATTAGGTCCATATTACAGTTAGAGAAACTGAGTTTACAGATAGGTGAAGTAATTTTATGAAGGCCCTATAACAGGTTCATAGAACAGAAGCTGAGCTGTCTGACTTCAGATTTCACAGCCTACGATATCAGGCCTGTCATATGGCACAGCTGCTGAGAAGGTGCCATCAGCATCATCATCTGTAAGTGCACAGGTCATAACCTGTGCAATGGAGTGTGGTGGCCCTCGAGGCAGAGCCCTGGGTCACAAACGTCTAGATCCTGGTCTCAGGAAGAGGAGACAACATTTATAGTGGAAATTCCACCCACACAGAAAAATTTCTAACCATGTAGAAGTAACTTTATAAAATACAGTCTAAATATCCAAGTAGAATAATTACCCAGCAGGGAAATACCAATTAATTTAAATAGTAACGGTGCATAAATCCAACATGCTGGATAGATGTTCTGTGTCTTGTTAATTTTGGCATCTCTGGGGCTCAGCATAACATCTGGCAGCAAAGATGTTTGCTAGATTGTTGTTGAATGAAAAAGATATGAAAGTGATCAATTCTGGTTAGCTCAATGGTGTGTGTGACAAGTCAGGGTGGAGAGAGAGCAAAGAGTTCCTAGCATTTTCATTGAATGAGGCTTGATAGTTTTATTGGACTCACAGGGAAAGAAGAAGATGATGATAAAGGGAGGCTGAGGGGAAGGGAGTGGTGGGGATTCTTCTCTCCTTCTAACCATGTTTACATAGTAGGGCCTTTTCACTCACAAGGGAAAAGTATGGGAGAAAAAAAAATTCCAGCTGCCTCCCCCATCATGATTCACCATCAGAGGAAAAGCAACATATCTGGTCAGTGAATTTCGGTGAAGGAATGGGTCATGAGCAAATGAGCAGACCCTCCTCTTTCCTTCCAGTGTCTTGAATCCAGGATGCACTTTCTCCTTCTTCATGTGCAGGATGTTTGTTCCTGCAGGGAGTCTACAACTGGCTAGTTTGGGATGAATGCATTCAATATTGGTAGGAGGTATTAATACGCCCCAATGAGTCCATAGTGCCAAGTCACTTTCCAGTTCACCTGTATACCTAATGAAGGCAACCTTTTGATCTCTGCTTTATTCTACATCTACTTGTCAGTTGGTTAGAAACTCAGATGAGGGCATAATGATTCCTGCAATCATTTCTGAACACTATTTTGAACATTTTGAACATTATTCACTATGCTGAGTAAACTGCAATTAAATTACAGTCAAGGGAGAAAACAGCTGGTTTGCCTTTGCATATACTAAAGACTAAAACATTATCCAGAATTTGTGGCTAGACTTGTTTCTTCATAAAGAAGAAGGGCAAGCAGGGAGACGTACAGAGAGTGCTGGCAGGGTGGTTACACTTTTGGAATAAGGACAAGAAACGAATCAACGAATTACCAGATGCCTTTAAGAAGACCAAATAAGGGAGAGGTCACGTGATGTTATCAACTATTCAGGTAGCATAATAAATATTAAAGTTGAAAGGAGACTGATCAAATTTACTTCTGAATGGCAAGACATGCTACAAGAGAACAATGACGAGAATTCACAAATTAAAGTGCCTTTAGCCAAAAAATAGATGAGCTTCCTGAGTTTTGTGATACTGAGCAGAGGAAAAGCTATTTTAGAGGGAATGACAGAAGAAAGAAGACTACAAAACCTCCAGATGGTTATTTTTGATATTAAGTATTATTTTTCATTATGAAAAGTTATGAAGTAGTGGAATATGAGTCATATCAAAAGGTGTATCTTCAAGAGCTATTTGAGAGAGACTTTTTCCAATCTGCCTTTCAAACCTCCCAAAATGATACTGGCACCTTCCCTACAGATCCTTTTTATATGGGAGAAAGTGGAATTTTTCCAGGTACTAAGATTGAACCAAATTCTATTATCAAAATTAAATATCTTTAGCTTGCAACCTGACAAGAGTACAATTTAAAGTAGCAAAAACGTATCAAATTAAAATAAAATTTAATTTAATTAAGTAATTTAAAGTAGCTAGAACATATTAAAATAGTTTCTATATATTAGCATTTCCTTCCTTTATACTTAATGTCGTAGAAGCACCAATATTTTGCCCTTCAGACAGGATGGATCTCAAATAGAAATTAATGTTTGAACACTCAATTATTAAAATTCACTTAAACATAGCAGGATGACACACAAAACAGTGATTTCACTTCAGAGAGGGACTGGACATTCACTGGGGTATAGTTACCATAAATTGGCTGCTTATTAAAATTATGTTCCGTTATAATAAAAAGTACTTACATTTATTTATCACTTGAAATTGGTGGTTGTGTTACACATTTGAACTCTTTAGGTTAATCTACACTCATATTTTTATCCCTGATTTGCATATATAATCAGAATTCCCTTTCAGTATTGGCTATTGGTTGATAAGAATAAAATTGTAAGGGCTACTTAGATTACATTTCCTATAGTTCTCTAATGCTACTGCGTGATTCGCCAAAGCAAAACCTGCATTTTATAATAATAAAATGTTTTTATTTATAATAATGTTTATAGTAATGTTTTTGAGATAAATGGAAATGGTTTGTATCAGTCTGATTTCATTATTAACAGTTCTTTAACAAGTAAGTGAACAAGCTTGCAATAGAAAATTCCCTTCTCATATAAACTTATTTCACTTTTTATAAATTTAAATGGTCTCTGATTAAGTTGACATTTTTGCAATTATTAAACTAAAATTTAATCAGACAAAAAAGAAATAACTAATAAACTGATATAATTAAAAGGTAAATATCTCATAGTGAGCCTAATAAAAGTATTATCTCCTTACCTCACATAGTTAATACTATCCACCAGTAAATAAGAAGAACAAAATTAGTGTGAACTATTTTTTTTTGTAATTTCAACAATCTTATGAAATACATTGGATACATGTAACATAGTATAGTACTCATTTCATAATTCCACCTCTAGTTTTAAAAATATTGCCTTCCAAATCTTATAGTGAGACTGTGTGTGAAAGATTATTCTGACATTTTTGAAACTCATTTAAGTAAGAGTTATTATTTCTAGATCTTCTTGTGTTTTTGCTCTTAGAATGCCTGCTTGTAAAAAATAGTACCCCAGTTTGAATGATCTTTTTTGAAAGACACCAGGGGTGTCATGAAAAGAAAGGGCTGACTGATCATGACTGAGTCATATGTACAAGTTGATGAGTAGGCAGAGAAAGTAGGCTGCAAAGAGAGGAGAAAAGCAGACAGGTAGAGAAAAGCAGAGAAACAGTTACTCCCCAGCTTTACATACTGCAGCTTCAGCCAATGAAGATAAACAGACTTTCTGTGTTCTGATTATAAAAGATATTGGGGAGGGAAAGACACAAGCCCAACCTTCATCAGATTTGCCCACTCTGCCCAGGGGGACAGTATATGATTGAAGTATTATTAGAATCATGGGGTTAGCGGAGGTAATTTCCAAAAGGAAGGAGAGCAACTTGGCAAGATTGGCAGGACAAACAATCTCATAGATATTCATCTCATGGGGAAAATGGATGGTAAATGTACAGAAGTTGTGGGGGATCCCACTTGGTTCACAAATTAGCAACCTAAGGAAATAAGAGGCTGGAACGATAGCAGGGGACAAATGGTGAATGCTAATTCTGGATTATTTTATAGAGATTGAATCACTTAAACATTTTTGTAGGTTAAAAAATGATTGAATATCAGTGATTTCATATAAGGACATTTTTGTGGGTCAAAAATGGATGAATACTAGTAATTTTCTACATTTCAGAGTATTATTTTATTCAGAAAGTAATAGGTAAACATTACTACTGAAAATAAAAGAGTAATAGGGTCAAACAGGGTAGGAAATAAAATAGAACAGAGTGCCATAATAAAGGGAAAGTGTAAACAACTCTCACTTACTGATTGGCCACTCTGTACCAGGCATTATGCTTTATGTTAGGAAACGTCTTGGAAAGCTTTCCCTTTATACATTTTTTTTTGTTTCCTACAGGGCTTTAAAAGAAAAAGCAATTAGGTTAGGCCTGATGACAATATGAACAGTTCAGAACCTACTATTTCATATCTAGGTTTTAATTCTTAAGTGATTTAAAAATTGAAAAAGAAACCTTTAAATAGCCTGGATCAGATACCATCCCTTCCACTGCTGTGTTGTACAACCCTGGGAAAATCACTACACTTATTTTACTTAGATTTCCTCACTTGTAAAATGATAATATAGTGATATTACTTGCTTCATAGGGTTTCTCTGATAATAAATCCTATATTATAATGAAAATAAAATACTTGGGACAGTTCTTGGAGGGTAGTAAGTGCTTAGTAAATTAACTGGCATGACTATCAATAGGGTTCTAATCTGGGTTTGGGATAATGGAAGAAGGCACAGAGAGAGAATGAGAATACTTTATGTCACACAGGTGGCAGAGAGAAGTGAAGAAAGTAGACGGGACTCAGTTCAAGTCAATAGGGGCTGTGCAGAAAGCCAGCCAGTTACATTTGGATCCTCGTCACAGTAGGGTATTTGATATGCTGACCAGAAACTGGAACTCTATCCTAAAGAGTGGGGACACCAGTCCGATACTAGGAGAGAGATGGGGTGTGGGTGAGTTTCCAGGCCCAGAAAAATATTTGATGTGTAATAGGTTCCCAGTTGGACTGATGATAGATTTTATCAGTCCATAGTAAATAAAATATGGCAGAGACTGCTATTGTCTTCCCAATATTTATTTCCTTCTTTTTCCACTTGTAGTCACAAAAGGTCCCCCCATTCTATCTGAGCCTGTCAAGAGACAGTATTTCCCAGCCTCAGTTGCAGCTGGATGTGTCCATATGACTTAGTTCTGACCAATGGGATGCCAGTACAATGACACGTGCATCCTCAGGTCATAGCTTTAAAGGGAACTTGCTCTGCACAGCAGATGGGACTGTACAATTGAGCATGCAGATGAGCACAACTTAGCAGATAGTGTAGCAACAGAAGGAACCTGGGTCTCTGGATGATCGATCTCAAGGGGCAGAGGCACTACACTCTCTAGACCTGCTGGAAGGCCAGGCTTTCATGTGAAAGAGAAATAAGCCTGTCTTATTTGTCACTGTTAGTTGTTCTTGGTTAAAATAGTGGGTTAAATTCCCAACATGTTTCTGCCCCTCAAGTATGGTTGGAAGCTTGAAAGGGTATGTATCAAATTTATTATGTTGTAATACCATTTGAGTGGGACTGAATTGAGTTTGGGGGCAGCTATCCATATTACTTCAGGAATTTCTTGAAACATTTAAAATGAGAATTTATTATTTAATAGAAATAGCCACTATTACAAAAAATAAAAACTCTTTTACAATCTCTTGCATTCTCTATACTCTTGTATATACTCTCTCTCCTCAGTTATATCTCATTTGTATTCTTTTATCACTGAGATAATTAGAGCAGAGAACAAGATGATAATAGAGATCAAAGAAAAAAACTATAGATATGATTGAGAAAACTAGGGAAGATATTTTGTTTCTGCAACAAATTTTCATACTTAATTTTGTAGTCAATTTGTTTTTTAAATAATGTGTAAACTTACACTTTTCTGCCTTGATTTTAATAAAATACTATACAGGAATTTCCCTTGCAGTGTGAAACAGGAGTATTCTACTCAAGTTCACATGAAAGACAATTAAAAATAAAGTTTGCCTGATTGGGATTTGACTTTGCCAGACCATCATATTCACTTTTTGAAAAGTCTTGTTTAAGACTCTAAATGTCAGAGGGATTATTATACAAAATTTATTTGGATATTATAGCTAATTCATGTCAGTTTTTATATTTCTTTAAATAAGAAACATTTTATTCAAGGTTGTATTTCTAAATTTAAAGCTTGTAAGACATGTCAATCATATTCCTTAAATCAGGAGAGAGTAAAGGAAGAAATTAAAGTTGAAGGGCAGTGGAAATGACATTTACAACTGATGACAGAATCACAATATATTCTTATAAATCCATTAATAACCATAATGATTGTCATTTTGGAGACTGCATGCTCAATCGTACAGTCCCATCTGCTGTGCAGAGCAAGTTCCCTTTAAAGCTATGACCTGAGGATGCACGCATCATTGTACTGGCATCCCATTGGTCAGAACTTTGAAGAGAATGAACCTTACTCAACACTCACTGAGCACTATGTTAATAATATAGTGCAAATAAAAAATAAATGGACATGGATTTTCATGTAACTGAGTAACCAGCAACCTTCCACTTAAGGAACTGAGTTTTTATTTATTATCAGTTTTTATATCCATGACTGTGGTTCTCTTACCATGAACATCTTCATAAGACTCAGATGAATTTCTTTTTGGAATTACTACAAAATCTGTCACATCTGGGTTTTCGCCAAAAAATTCGCCAGTGAGTGTGACTTCCACCTCCTCTTCTACCTGCTTCCTGGACTGACATTTTATGACAACTACAGGAGAGGAATATTTCCAATTAATTGGACTATTATTGTTATATGATCATTCATGAGATAGAAGAAAATGAATTATGTCATGAAAAAATAAAAGTTCCTTTGGCATACCTTGACTTGTTATTGTATCTGGCATTAACACACACACACACACACACACACACTCAAGCAATATATGCATACACTGACATTTTGGAAGCAAACATGAATATTAAATATTACATAAAAATAGCATGACAGAGATAAATCTGGAAGATATACACTACCTTATATAAGATTATATCAGGATGTAGAAATTTGATATATAGAAATTTTGATATAATTAAGGAATTGACTTAATATATCAATAATTCAACTGGGCATTGTGAACATGCAAATTTTTCTGCTATCTGTATGCTCACTTTGATAAATACCAAACTCTACTTATATAATACTACAACAAATACCTTCAAATAATTTATTTGTAATATTTATTTTGTAATAATACTTCAAAAATATTTCCTATTAGATTATTTACATGCACCTTAAAATTAATATTTAAATTATTTAAAATTTTTTTCATTTGTGAATTGCTTTTAAATTTACAAATACAGTTGTGGAAAATAAGATTATAATGAATAATTTTAATGTTAAAATGTGATTACATATTCAATATGCAGTAGAAAAACTGTATATATATTAAATTCCAATATTTTCTTGTATCCAGTACAGAAGTTGTCAGTGAAACCAAAATATTATTTCTATATGCAACTACTAATTATATAAAGACGTATTAATGTATTCTTTTAACATCAGCTCTGTAATACTATGGGGCCTTGTATACTAGAGTCCACATAAATAGGAAGGAATATGATTTCTCCAAAATATATTAAATGTTATATTTTTATCAATTTAGATGCATACAGGATACAAACTGAGTATAAGGAATAAAAAGGAAATCATGATATAAAAACAGCTTTTGAAATGTATTATGGTATACTTTTGTTGCATCAGTAATAATATATTCATCTAAGCTGCAAAGTTGGATAATGTCCTCAGATTTATGTTTTCACAATACATACCACATTTATATCACAAAAATAATGAAAATAAACACATTTTTAATTCTAAAATGTACTGGTTGATATCAAACATTTCAGACTCAGACTAAGTATGTGAAATGTACACTAAGGGCATAAAGTTAGATGTAAATTAAGCTAATTGAAATGGCTAAGGAAAATGTACAAGCTCTTCTGGTTATAATTAGCTTCAATCTTAAAGCATTAAACTGGAAATTAGGATGATCAAAGTTACAATTAGTGTCATGTCACTGGTCTTGTCCTCTAAGTCCTTAGGAAATTAGTGCCCTGGCAATGCAAGCATCACTCAGTGAGAATGGATTCATATTCTATTGTCTTCACACTGTGACAGGTACTGGAGTCTTTTTCCAATTATCTGCCCCACTGGATAGGAGCAGATAAAAATGCAGAGAGAAAAGGTGGTTCACAGAACAACAAAAGTACCCCGTGTTTGAGAATAAATTGGGTGATAGATACATAAAAAAGGAAAGAAACAATAACATCGATGGTGATACCGTTGAGCATGGAAAGCAAGAGTTATTCTGATGTGTTCTTAAGACTGAAGAATGCACTGTACAGAAAGTAAACAACACGTAGTTATAAAATTCTGCCCATTTGTTTCTCAAGGGCATTTGTAGATAAAAATAATACTAAAATAAGTTTTAGATTTTTCATAAAATGATTACTTGTATATAATGCAGAATTCACATTTAATTTAAAAATCAAATAATTACAAAGAGAAGTGACTTGATGGAAAATACCTTTATGCTTCTGGAGAGTGTTTATCTTCTTTTTTTATTTTGAAGAAATCTGTGCCAGGAATTTATGTTTTTATATGTTCATAGGCTTTGTTTTAGACTGAAAAACTCTACTTTAAATCTTTAATCTAGGAAAACCAAAACCTTGTCTGCAGTAGACATAAGCAACACTGCTGTTAGAATTCCAACAGAGCAATGTCTAGACTTTATTACATCTCTTTGATCAGATGACTCTGTTATAAATTTTAAATGTTTGTGAAGCATTCTGAAGATAATTTAGTGCATTTGAAATATTTATCTGTGTTGGTAATTTTTTAGCTCAAGAATAAAAATACTTCAAGTAAAACAAATGATATCTATTGTCAAAGGTACTACTAGATATGTGTATTTTTTACTCCAGTTAAAATTACATGACATGAAGAAATATGTAATCTTGGCTTTCTTTTATAACCAGTGTATCTAGGGAAATGTTGTTTGAATCATTTTCTCTTCTTTCTAAGTGCAGTGACATAATTTATGTCATAGAAGACTATTTTTCACTAGCAAAGATGGGGATTGGAGGGAGAAGGAAAATGCAAAATTTCAAGACTTATTTCAGCTCCTCTGTTGCTCAAGGTGGGGAGAGAAAGTCAGTGTTCCTCAGTTAGGAAGAACGACATTTAGAGGCTGGTAAGGGGCTGGGACACTAAACCTCGCTTTATGGTTATCTCAGAGGAATGGCATTTCTTAGGCTGTTCCTTGGAAGAAAAGGGGAAAATCGAGGAATGTGTAAGAAGTGAGAAGAGTATTAAGGAAAGAGAACAACAGCAACTCAAGAGACACCTGGAGTATGTGGAGAAAAAGAAAGGGGTCATCGAGAAAAAGAAAGGCATTTTAAGAGTAGGGACAAAATTCCTGTTGTGCGTATGGTTGCAAAGTGAACCTCCTTCAGAAATACAGTACCTTCTGACTGTGTTTGGAGACATCACAGGTTTTGTGTCTGGGACATCAAAGAACAGAGGAATCAGTGTCCCCACAGGACAGTTCTTGGATGAGACTCAGAGTCACACAGAAGCTGGAATATGGTGATTAAATGTGACTCAAGAGCCAAGAACCTGGGAATCTTATAGATATAGTGCGGGGCTCTGAGCGCCTCATAGAATGTGGGATAAAGAGGCCTGAACTTAATGTCATTTCAGTCTCAGTTGACTTCTGGGTTTCGCCAACAGGAAGAGCAACAGAAAATGATGAGGTTTGGTGGAAAGATTGTTGGACTTACTGTTAGGAGACATGATTCACTCCTAGCTCTCCCACCACTAGGGCTGGTCCCTCCACACCTCGCTGCCTCTGGATCTCAATTTTCTTACTTGTATGAAGAAGAGATGGGATTAAAAGGCCTCTAAGGTCCCTTGGAATCCTGGGGTTCTCAGAATTTGAATGCACTTACCTTGAGGGCACTTAGGATGCAGTGACTGTGGGAGTCCAACAATGGGGTATATCCAGTTTATTGCATGGATTTCTCCACTGTCTAGTCCCAGAGTTCTAATGACAAATCAAATTATTAAGAGTGAACAGAAAACATAAATACTTTCAGTAAGGCAGCATATTCCTTATTAACCTGATGGTATTTTTAGCAAAGCTTTTGAATTTAAACTTTGGCAGAGAGAGACTGCATGTGAAATATTAAACCATTTCTGCACATGCTGATTTTATAAACATTTCAAAGCAAATCCAGAGGAATTAGCACAAAGAAAAATGCAATACAACCATTGCGAGATGTAAGTTAAAGCTGAAGAACTGTTTTCCCTATTTTTAAAAGTTGCTATTTGTATTTCCTGATGTAACGAAACTGATTAATCAGAGACAATACAGTTTCCATGGGTTATATTCTAAATTGGACAGGCAAAACACACACACACACAAAAAAAACCCACCAAAAAATGCCATTAAGTACAGGACTTCAGAAGGTGATGAGGAATTTCTTTTGGAGGAATTTACTTTTGCAACAAAGTGGGCATTAGTCAAAATATTCTAAGTCCATCACACACCATCAGGATGACGGTGGTACTAGACAATGGTTCTGATCATTGTTGGATACAGGCATTTCTTGTTAAAAATGAAACCTAAGAAAGGGCAGGCAGGACCAGCTTCATGAGCATGTGACCTATGCAACAGGACAAGAAGCCCACACTTTGAATTGCTCCATGTTTGTTTAATGCCCTACTGTAACTGTCTTGAAATTCTTAATAATATCGAGCAGGGGCCCCCTCATTTTCATTTTACCCTGGGACCTACAAATCATGTAGGCAGTCTTGACTGCCAGAGTGATGAAAAGCATGGCAGAATGGATGCTAATCCACCCATAAACCTTTTTTAAAGGTAGAGAAAAAATTGTGTGCATATATAATCAAGTAAGAATTTCTTTTTAATTAAGATTTCTAGGCCACTATTTAATGAAACTATAATAGCAGGAAAAAAACACTTAAATTTTGTATCATTATTGGGATGTCCTTAAAATTCAGTGAAGCAAAGAGGGTACAAATAATCTGCATTCTGGCAATGACAGGGTGTCTCCTAGTCATGGCAGGGTTTTATCAGGATGTCATATCCCTCTGACACAGTGCCATCACTTGGTGAATGCCAGCATCACCAGTCCTATACTTTGTCCAGACAAGCTGTTTCAGGTTGTTCTGTAGATATATATCATTTATTGTCTTATCAGTAAGTATTTTCTCAGTCAAAAACGAGCCCCTTTGCATGTTTGTGGCTCTGATTCATTGACAATATCTAAGATTGACTTGTTCATCACTCTGAACTACAAATCAGCAAAGATATATGCTATTCCTATACAAAAATGTTTTCTGCCTCTGAACATATATAGTTCAACAGTTCAGAGACTATAAAATCATGAACGTGTAAAAGGAACCAATTATATCAGTGCCAGTCAAAATGAAATCATTTCCCTTCAATGTCTCATTTAAATGTTACCTTTTCATCTCTGTGCTCAATTCATCAAAATTGTCAATGGGCCAATTTTCTCCATTTGCCCTCATCATTTGAACAATGACCAGTGTTTTCTGTAATTTCATAATGTTGGGCATATATAACACGGGGATGTCTACATTCTTTTTAGGAGGTAATGTAATTCCTGTAAAAAAAACCCCACAAAAATAATTTCAATGTGGTTAACATCTTCAGAGTATAAATTTTAACACCAGAAAGTAATCTAATTCCTTTATTGATTATCAAGTTTTCAAAATCCCTTCCGAACCAAAAAAACACATCATGCTAAATTACAAGTGTACTTCACTGGCTTCACAGATTTTCCTCAAATACCATCAACCCTGTTAAAAACCACATTTTATCCTAAGGCAAGAAAGTTGCCCTGAAGGAATCTGGAAGGGCTGAAGAAATGTTGAAAGGGATGGCTTGAGCTTCTCAGAAGGACTAAAGAAAACCCATGAGTCTTTTCAAGTCTTACTGCATTTTACAAAAGATAAAGTACAGTCATTTTTGATCCTCTAATTTCTCAAATATATTTTTTCTAGACCATAACAGCTCCAGATTTCTGCTTGCAGCCCCAAAATGGCTACCAGTAAACCATTCATTTAACTGATCCATGAGGGAAGCCAAAGCTTATTTGTGAAAAAAAGGGGCATTTGCCCTAGGCGATAAAAACAGAAAACAGGAAAACTCACAACACTGTCTTGTGTTCTAATGGATTGGAAGTTTTCAACCTTTACTTTGTGCAAAAACCACCTGCAAAACTTGTTAGACATGGAGCTTGCTAGGCCCCAACTGCAGAGATTCTGATTTATTCATTCTGGGCTGGGGCCACACAACGTGCAGTTTAAGTAGCACCTCATGGGATCCAGAAGCAGATGGTCATAAGACCATACTTTGAAAATAAAAAATAATTACCAACTGGACAAGTATTGAGAGTTTGAAGAGTGGTGAGCTTCAGGCCATTTGTAACAATGAGGGTTTCCAAATTAAGGGTGTGTTGTTTTATTCTGAAGAGTAACACTATTTCTTTACAAGAAAATAAGACATTATTGAACATATTCTGTTTTTTAAAATTTCTTTATTGTAAGATTGATGATATACAAAGCCATTTTGTCTCAGATAAGAAAACTGTATGAAACTATTAAGAACATCAAGAAAAGATAGCCTCTCTGCAAAATAACCCAACTCAAGATTTTTGCATATTTTCAAATTTAAAATTGTATTCCTGTAGGAAATGAAAATGTTCTAAGGTCTAATATCATAGCTAATAATAATTAATATGATTACTAGTTAATATTTATTGAGTACTGACTGTATGCCAGAGTCTGTGTTAAGTATTTTTCATAAAGTATCTCATTTCATTCTCACAAAATCAGCATAAATTAAGTGCTATTATGTTTCCCATTTTAGAGATGGAGAAACGGAGACAATCTGGTTAAATAACTTGCCCAAAGACCCACTGAAAGACTGTGTTGTTTTCTAAGATACCGAAACAATTTGTTAGCTTCAACTTTGTCTTTATGATCTCTACATGTTTAATTAATCATTGAATTCAAATGAATAAAAACAGCAAGAGCCAGAATAGGATAAAGGGTTGGAATAGGGTGAAAACAGCTAAGAGCCGTCAAATAAGCCATATGTATATCTCCAAGGAAATCAAGCTTAGATATGATCATCTACACTTACAAAATTATACTGCACTAAAAACAGATTATGAGTAAAACAAAACATAGACATTTAGGTGGTGCAGGGAGTCAAGACAAAGATACAAAAGGATAATTCATTGTTAACACCATGAGCCTGTCTGATGTTTACTTGAAAATAAGGAAAGATAATGCTATGACAAGTAAATTATATCTAGTAGCCTATTGGTGGCTGTAACTTGAGCAGTTTACAAGTAGAACTATAGTTCCCTATTGAATTCACCATAAGTTTCTTTAACTATCAATAAATGCTTGAAAAATAAGAATTACTGTGCTGTTATTAACTTTTAAGAAATCATTGAAATTTTACATTGAAAAAAAACCCTGAAGATTTATCCAATTCATTTTGTGTCTCACAAGTGAGTTTTATTTCTTGTGGTTTTCTTATTGTCCTTTGCCTCACTTTGAGTAGAAACAGGAAAGCTGTCCTTCTGTCTTCTAATACTTAATCCTCTCATTTTTATAGATAAATATTTGATTCATTTGTCATTTACCCATATGTATGAAATGAAGACTGTACCCAATGTTATTTTCTTCATGAGACTAATTATCCAAAAACTACCTATTTAAAAGTTCACTGATTGGAAATGTTGCCTTCATGGCAGTTCCATATGTATTTTGGTCTTTTTCTGGATTCCCTGGATTTCTTGGGTCTTTCTTTCTGTTCATGTGTAAGTACCACATTGTTGTAACTATAGATGCTTTATTTTCTAGTAGGACTAACTGCCTCCTACCCTAACTCATTTTCTAAAAGAATTTTTCTCAATTTGGAATGAATAGTTAGCTCCAGGAAGCAGATGGGGTGGCAAATTGTTCTTTTAAAGGGATCACCTTACATTTATACTTTCGAGATAAATGACAATTTTGTCCATTCATGTTCTGTCCAAGAACAAGAGTACAGCCCCTTTATTTTATTTTTCTCATTTGAACATTGTATTAGGTGCTTCTAGGATCTTGTAATAGCTCTTCAGCCAGTTTTAGTTTTCAGTGTCACTAGACGCTCATTTCAGCATCTTCATATGGGTTCAACAGAATGCTGGGAGAAAACCACACCAGCACTTTCATCTTCTGACTTGGAAATCTAGACAGTATGATTACTATGCTCATTAGATTGAACAATCTAACAAAATATATTCTAAACTTAAAACATTTTCTGAGCTTATCTTTCTGTTTTACTCCATTTCTATACAGTAACTATACAAACTGATTACAAATATATTTACTTTGTTCTATTAATCATTCTTGAAGTTCAAAACCTTAGTAATTAAGCATTTTGGGGGAAATACGCACATTTTATTTTACGTAACTTATTTAATGTATATATTTTTGTATGACAGAGGTATACATTATTTATAGAATTTTTACAACCCTGATAATATTTCATGTTTAGTATGTGAGAAACTTTAAAAAGAATGACCTTGATTGTACTATTACTGTTCTGCTTTTGAAATCTCCTATGGCCTACTGGCACTTACCATTTAAATTTTATTCAGTGTATTTTAAAACTATTTTGATTGCTCTTTGGATTAAAGGTGCTAGAAATATTCATGCACTGATCTCCTATATGAAATACAGAAACTGTACAATACTTTAAGGGGTACGAGGCACCCAGCCTTCTTAGAAGAAAATCTTCTCAAGAGAGTAAAGTGAGCATAATCCTCCCTTTAATAATGAAAGTATTTCATCCTGAGAGATTCATTTTTAATCACTTAAGTTGTTTTACATTACTGCTCCCCACAACATAATTTCTACTATTTATCATGGCATTAGAAATGGCCCATGTCAGGTAATCAAAGAGACACTAACAAACATACTAGTACCCTAAGTCACCCTATTACTTTTGTTAGAGTGACTTATTTTAAAAGAGTACAAGTTTTTATTTTAAAACATCAAGTCATCAAGAACATCACTTTTTATCAGCCATTTTCATCCATGAAATTTATGTGCTTTCTACTTGAATACTTCATATTTTCAATAACAGATCTTTTTTGGAAAAATAATTTCTAAATTATGACTAAACACTGGAACAGAATTGTTAATGTGATGGTTGGGAGAAGAGTCCTTTTCATTAGTTCTTTGGAGATATTATGAGATGAACTAATTTCCAGAACCTCAGAATGTGACTGTATTTGGAGATAGGACCCTTAAAGACATGGTAAATGAAGTTATTTTGTTTGAGCCGTCCAGTCTGATATTTTGTTACTGCAGCCTTAACAAACTAATACATTAAATTAGCTCTTCCTTTTTGAATTTGCTTACAGAAATTCTAATTCCAGACTCTCAAAACATAGGACAGATAGAGAAACTTGACTCTGATTTGCCATTTGGCTGCTATGATCATGGAAAAGCTAGAGAGGAAGCAATCTTGCCTTCCTACCTGTACCCTGTTGACTGAATGAGGTAATCTATTAAATAGCAAGAAGAGCATTTCAGAGATTGAAATTTCTTTGTGAAGGATTAGACTGTTGCTGCTTTATCCTCTCCATCTTTTACAGAGCTAGATAATGTCTGAGATTTAATAAAGAAGTCCAAAGAAGACAAAACCAAAGGGACTAGAGTAAAAAAAAGTAAGCACTAAGTAAAAGTGGAAGTAAAGGTGGAAGGTCACATTTACTGACACAGATAATTTGGGAACAGATACAAAGCCATGCTTCTTAGGAAAAAAAAATGTTCACATTGGGACATATGTTTTTCAAGTAGATTTTGCACTTATTGAACACAAACATGATCAGTAATATAAACTTTATGCTGTGGACTAAGGACCCGCAGTTTAAAGTTTTATGTTTGTTTTTTTTAAACATTAAGAATATATTAGCAAAAATAGAAACAAACTAGTGCATATAAAAATATTGACTTTAATGTAAACACCTCATCGCTGGCTCAAAATGAATTAAAAATCTGCCATTAGAGCCTCCTGACCGCAAGACACAGTGAAGGACATAGTTTTCTGGCATTGAAGGCCATCAAGCATATGGTGCACAAGCACTGAAATTGATGAGAGAGGTTTGTGAACTCTACATGAATGTTTGTACAGAATATCTTAATGCTTCTCTCCAGTCTCATCTTCTATGATAACATTTTCCTCATAAATAGAAAAGATAAGGTCTCATGTCAGGGAATTGAGTATTTTCTTGGAAAATAGCTATTTTTAATTTTAATTTCAATTAAAATCACCCACAGAGAATTTTAAGATAAAACCATATCTATTACTACAACTAATATGCCTTATTGATCAATTACCATGTCTTCTTCGTCCTGTGTGTTCTGTACTGTGTGTGTATATAAAAATCTCTCTCTTCACCTATGGGAATACCCTATGATGTAACATAGAAAAGAGCTTTAGAAATTTAAAACTTTGCTGTGTTTCACTAGTTCTGCGTAACTTGGGAAGTTATTTAAATTTCTAAGTGAGATTTTCCTCACATGAAAAAGGAAGCTA